GCCCTTTCCAGGTTTGCATCCCAACTCAGCTTGCCGCAGGAACAACACGCTTTTCCTCTGTGGTTCCAGCAGAAGCCCAGGGCTCGCATCCTATTGGCTGGTTTCGGTCATGTGCCCCTTTCTAGCCAATCACCGTGAACAGGGTGGTGGGATGTTCCAATTAGCCAGACCTTGGGTCACGTGCTCGCCTCTGGACCTGGAGGGGGATAGAGTCCCCCACCCATACACAGACTCTGAATGGAAAAAAAAACGTGGTTCTCTGAAGGAAAATTGGTGATTTGATTCTTTTCAGGAAGGAGAAGTGGGAACTGGACAGGCCAATGAACGCCCATCTCAGCCCCCAAGGTTCAGGTCTTCACATTCCCACTTTTGGCTGGGGAAACGGAGGCCCAGAAGAATGGGTTTTAAAAAAAAGAAAAAAAGAAAAATGTTCCCAGGGAAATACTGGGTCCGTGCATTTAATTCAAAACGCACTCCATACCCTCTTCCCTTTGCCGTCATGTCCAAAAGCCAGGAGATGAAGAGACGCTGAATTCATTACGGGTGACAGACCCCTGGGGCTCCGTCAGCGCTTCCCAGCCACTGACCTTTCCGTCCCCACTCTGCCCCTTGCTTCACCTCCACCGCGTCCAGCGGACTGTCCACCAGGCGCTCTCCTGGCCCCATTTCCTGGCCAGCGCCCACCCCTTGCCCCCCCACCGGCCTGCCATCACCTCCCTCCTCCCCACTCCCAAAGAGCTCTCTGTGCGTTCAAAAGTAAAATCCAGCATGCTCAAACCTGTGCAGAATTAACGTCCCAGCCGCCTCCTGCACACACCCAGCCGCCCGTCATAAACGCCTGTGCATTGTTGACTCTCTCTGGCCCTGTCAGCCTTCTCTCCGGAGAACACTCGGCATCCTGCCTGACACAGAGGAGGCTGTGAATACATGTCCACAGAAAGGTCAGAAAAGTGAAAACCGGACCGCTAGATGCCTGTCCTTAGGGAAGAATTCCAGACGCATCAAAATCGTTCCCTTCAGTCCCTGGCCTGGTCAGTGATCTCGGGGTCACAGGCAGCCAGGAGGCAGGCCACCAAGGACGGCTAAGACGCGACCCAGCCTGCCTGGGCTCAAGCCCCAGCCCCGTCACTTAGCTGTGCAACTAGGGGTAGCTGCTTCCCCCGCCCATGACCCAGCTTCCTCACCTGCAGAGTGAGAAATCTGATAGAAAGGCATCTACCTTGTGTATTGTGACTATTAAATGAGTTGACACAGGAAAAACAGAACCCGGGCTGGTACCCAGGAGGCGCTGTGGACGTCTCAGCCGTCAGCGTCGCCGTGGAGGTGGAATACCGGCACGCCAGACCTGGCCACGTCCTAACCCCTCCAACGTGTGAAGATGCCACCTTGCGTAGCAAAGGGACTTTGCAGATGTGATTAAGGATCCAGAGATGGAGAGGTGCCCAGAATTGTGCAGATAGTGTAATACGCTGAGCTCAGTGTTATCAGAAGGGTCCTTGTGACAGTGTCAGTGAGCAGGAAGGAATGTGAAGACCCGGACACACTCCCGGGGATGCCTGGTACTCGGGCCAGCGGGACCTAACCTCAGTGAGGCATTCTGTGGGTTTTTCCCTGGTAAGGATAATGCGGGAGCTCACAGCATGCCTACGTCCGTTCTCATTTAAATTACGGTGAATCTCTGGTCTTGATGTGAAACCTGAATGTTTGCTCCCCAGGTTCCTCAACCACCACATCTGGATCTCGAGTCCTGCCCTGTTTCTTTGGGTTCTGTTCTAGGAGGGGGTGGGGCAGGGGCCTAAGAGAAGCACCCCCATACACTCACACCAATGGTCCTCTAACTGGCTCTCTCCCTGCAGGAAGCCGTGGTCAGCACTTGGCTCCAGTTCAGCGACGGCTCG